GTTCTTGCGTCAACTGCTTTATCTGAGTGCCACTGAATTATTGCGTATTCCTTCACAAAGATAATTTTACAGAGCTATAGTAATTGACTGAGCGTATATCTAAGTAACGAAGACCTCATTTTCCCATAGAAATACACTCAAACTTGTTTTTAATCGGACAGACAGAAGTCAAGTTATGACAGTTTAAATCTCGTCCAGGCTAGATTAGACCATATTCATGGCATTCTAGTGAGTTATAACGGCCTTTCTTAATTGTTTCGGACGGGTATTTTTGACTGAGCTTCATCCGGTTTGAAAGACTTGTTTGCCTGTTATAGAGTTCAAACGGACTAAGTGAGCTCGCCAGTGCCCAAAGCAGTCGGAGAGGCCGAGTGTTTTCCAGGGATGGATTTTTTCAAGTTACAAAAGCTTGGACTACTTCTAGTTTGACTGATGTTTAAACCACACGAGAGACTATGATCTAGTCTCTTGAACTATTACAATTTAATATACACTGTAACCGAGAGACCTCGATAGAATGCGAGAGAAGCAAAGCGCAGAGGCAGTTAGTGAGATGCGCAGACTAGTTCTTGCTCAAGCCACTTCGATGTTTTACTTCCCATTGTTTCTGAAATTTATGATTCTCCTGGGTTATATTCACTAATAACGTAACCCAAGTATAGGCTTCTCGGCGTTTCCTTCCTTCAACGCTGAGTCGCTTAACATTTCCAAGTGGACTTTTTCAAGCCTTAGTGAACATTAGAGGGTACAATCTGTGCATATTTTGGGGTTGGGATATTTGCTGGGTACTGTGAGTTCTCCAGCTGCAGAAACGAGTGGGCCAGGTAGCTCATCTTGGTAAAGAAATCAAAGTGCAAAGGAAAATAAAAATGACTGCAACTTTTAGTTATATAATGCAAGGCGCTGTAGAGCTGTCTCTGAATATAAGAGAAACGTTGAAGCTAGAGAAGACATGTAAACAAACAAAGATACGTAAAACAGGTAGATCTGGGAGACATCAGACAGGAGGAGTCAAGGAAGTAGATAAACACAATAAAGTTTAAAAACTAAATATGCATGTAAATTGTATCAGACATAATCCAGAGCTAGAGGGATCAACGCAGTTTTTAGCAACTGCAAAATAAAGTGTAAAATCGGACAGCATGGATATCAGACCTGAGCTAACAAAACAGCTAAACAAACAAACAAACAAACAATCAGACAAACCAGCAAAATAGGAAAAGAAGTTACTCTACAGAAACGAGGTTTATATCGACGCCCATATATTAGACTGTATGATAGCCAGCTCTGATTATATTACTGACAGGGTCACAATGTGATAAAGAGACACGGGAATAGGCCAAAAACTTCAGCCAGACAGTTCGCAGTTTGCAGGACTGAAGACAACTGAAATGAATTAAAAACATTAATAAACAAAAGAACAATCAGTTAGAGAAAAGTCTATATATTCAGAGATTGAATTAAACTACTAAGCTACTAAAAAAGCACACACACAAACAAATAAATATCAGGACAAAACACTTAGACAGACAACTGATAAAAAAACAACAGACAGATAGAGGTAAGGAGATCCACAACAGAAGCTTGCAACTGCTGAACTGACAAACCAAAAGTAATTAACTATGACTGAAAAAATGTACTTTGGCTGTTGAACAACGTTAATTTACAATATACGAGTGGAAATAAGGTTGTTGTCATAGTTTAGCACCGCAGGTAAAAACATGCGTGCGGATTTGGCATCACTCTTTTACAAAAATAAAAAAGATAAGCAAGGAACTGCTTGTGTTCACTTTGGTTGTTCATTTGTTTACTTCAGTTCCACGGGCTACAGTCTGTCAGTCATAAAAGGTTCAACCAGAGACAGTTTGGACTTATTTATAATTACTTGACGACTTGTTAACCACACCTGTAAGTCCGGCAATATTTTAATGTCGATTACATAAGTCTATCTGACTGGCTGTTTCTTAACAAAAGCCCTGCCTTGGCTGTACGTCGTTGATTTCTTGTTCGTAGCTGTTTTTGACTGACATAATTCAATTTTACGGATACTTTGCTCGAGAAATCAGGGCGTGCCATGCGCAATTCGGTGTTTGTTTAAAGTCGGTACTAGAAAAAAAGAGCAAAGCAAATATCTCGAGTACTTAATGAGGACACATTGAGTATGATCACTGAGAAAGCTGTAGTGTCTTGGAGTGCCACCTTAACAAGCTCTGACAAACGTACGAACAAGGAATACAGAATCATCACTCGATTCGGTAGACGTTACACAAATTCCCTTGCGTGAACAAGATGTTTTAGAGCCAAAGGAATTTGTTTAAGTTTTGCTCTTGGGTTGCGGTGAATATCGTTGCGATAAATCTCCTGTGTTTGATAATCCAATATGCCGCCGGTGTTTGTGTTACAAAGCCAGTACAAATCTGGTACTCGACATCTGTTCTTAACTGTGATAAGACCCTTAGTCTTTTAACTTCTAAATGAGGCGATTACTTGACTGGCAATGCCTTTGAGACAATCAAAGTCACGGAAACGATTTTCGTTTGACTCAAACTGCTTTAACTTCTACTGAGATCTAGATGTACTGAGTTGTGGAGGTTTTACTGTTGTTAAACTCACGAGACCTTAACAGAAATCAAGACCATGAAAGAATATTTCCTAACTCAAGTTAGTGGCAAAAAGTAAGAATTCTGCGGCAGCGAGACAAGTCCTTCAGCGGCTTGAACGACAGACTGATCGTCGACACAGCCATGCGCAATGCTGAGAGAACTCATTAGAAGCAGAGATCAGTGAGAACAAGAGAAGAGAAAAAGAACTTTAACCTCTCATCTTAAGTCGTCTTTGCATTACGTAACGCCTGATCCACTAAACTACAAGGGCACGTCTTCTGCATGTTACTTGATCATGTTTCATACCATGGAACATTCTATAAACTTTAATCGCTGAAAAAAATTTTAAGAACTTGAAAATCCGGAAGGATCGAAAACGGCAGTACACAAATAAGTAACTTGATAAAATAAATCCTTTATATCAACTAATTAAGACGTGCTATGAAAACGTCTGTGGTGTATTAAAAAAGACAAAAAATTGCTTATTTCCTGGCCTTACGTCGTCGTGTTAAGAAAATTGTCCATGCCTTGTCTACTTCCTATAAACACTTGTTTTATCGGATGTTTTATGCCACTTATCTCCTCGTCAATAAGCTTCCACTTTGTGTTGATATGAATGAAATTAACTGCCTAGTTGTATACTGGCTTTGCAAAGATTTTGAGTTCAATCTGTATTACCCTACACGATCGCTTTTAATTTTGTTCTGGCTTCACGGATCTCGGATTAGATATTTCAGTGCTCACTTATCATAACCCTATTCATGTCTTTTTCAATCCAATTTGTTTTTCCTTCAACGGGTTCTTCTGAGCTATGTCAAACAACATTTTGAGACAACTGGCTGTAGTCATGCAGTTACAATAGATCATAGTATTTTTCAGTCTGGCAAGTTTTAATGTCATCGACTTAAATTATACATGTAAATCGACCTCTACAGATCCTTAAAGAGTGTTATCTCTCTAGAATAAAAGGTTAAATAAGAATAAAAGGTTAAATAAGGAAAAAAAATCTTCCAAACAAGCCCAAGACACTTCTACTCTTTCAACGTAAGAAACTGAGACAGGCAAATTGGCAGGTTGGTTTAATGATGGTCTCAATAGAGCTCAATGTCTATTTGGTTCTTTATCGTGCACGAGTCTTCCAATAGAAAATTAGGATTAATTCACTGGGTTATTGAATACGCACCTGGTATTTGTGCTCTGCGTCGTGCATAAGCCAGGTATCACCTTTGATTTACAAGAAGAGGAACATTTCACAGGATATTCGTATCACTAGCCTGTATAACTATGATATCTATCTAAAGAAGAAATATATCTCGTACAGTTGTGTTTTTCTTATTGAAGGCGAACAACAAAAGTACGAAGTGGCTCTATCAGTGGCGTATGCTTCCCACTGATTCCAAAATTCTTTCATTTCGACTTTCATTTGCAGTAAAAGAAACGATAAGTATCGTAAATGGTGAAAGATATTGAAATGAGTATGAGAAAACACGCGAGAATCGGCTTTAATGAAATCTTCACGTCGGTAGGGAAAGCCTACAGTTTATCTTTTTTATCACCAATTTCTCTGTCTGTTCGTTCTCCAGAGAAAGTTGTTACCATAGTCTGGGTACCCTGTGTACCCACAAATAACGAAAATAAAATTTGCATGTTATTTGGTCGGGCGCTTAGTGTATCACGCACAAGCAATTATTATTTTACGCTCCCCGCGGCTCTGAAATTACGATTCATCCAAACTGTCATCCCAGTTGATTCATAAAAGCCCCCCATGTTTGCTGAATCAAGTTCTGTCGCATTTGGTCGCCTGAATTTAATTTGCTTGTGTACACACAGTGGCATTCCTTCGCAGCTCAGCTTCGCGGAGACGCAAAATAATTGGCAACGAGATTGCTGGCGTTAATTCAACGTCACGAACCCCTAAGCAGGTGTTTGTTTTGAAGGAAAATAGACCTATGGAGAAAGCAGGAAACCCCTAACAAAGACGCGGACACTCTTCTTGAGCCATAATTACATTTTGGCACTTTCGGTTCCTTTTGAAGTGCAAAGGACTCGGTTTTTCGGCAGTTTTAGAAAAGAGATCGGCCCGGTTGAAGCAAAATCTGTTTAAGAAGTCTACGATCACGTTTAGAAAATTGCATTAGGCTCTAACCTGATCGAAAGTAAATATCTCGAAGAACGTACTGGAAAAAAGCGAGAAAGCTGACGACCGGAAACTATATTGTTTATGGAGATGCAAATGTGTATATTGTTCTTTTTCAGTTGTGAAAGTCAAGCAATATCGTTTTCTTTGGTTGTTTGAAAACGTTGGTAAATAACTGGACATTTTCTAAACAAAATTCCTTTTTCTCTTTCCCAAGTCAAGGAAAGAAGGATTGTAAAGGCTTAGTTGCTTTCCCAAACGCTAGCCTTAGAGCAGATCTCAAGGCATCTAATATTCATACATCCCTCCGGGCCAATACGCCACTTTCAAGTGTTGGGTTACCGGACTTGAAATGACGGTCTGTTCTCATCTGCATGCGCCTGACTTCAAAGCGCTCCACCAGATGATTAAATCTATTGAAAGTTGACATATTGGATTTTTCTAATTTCGCAGTCGCTTTTCTCGAGTGCTTGCTGGTTTCTCGACAGACACAGTTGTCAGCTTAAATCCCATCACACAAATCGGAAACTGACATCGGAAGTGAAGGGTTTTGATGGCATAGTGGTTGATGTTCATTAAGGGCGACTGGAACCCCCCCAAACGTGGGTCATCAATTACATCCATATCAAGTGTCTTAAAGGCTAGATCCAGTCCTGTAGTTTCTCTTACCGCACGTACAAAGTAAAGAAAGAAATACAAACATCCAACCTCCTGTCGCCGTCAAACTTGATCGCAAAATTAATGCAAGAAAAATGTTTTCAAAAAGTTGACAGCTGAAAGGAAAACGCGTTGTTAACTGAGAACCCTAAAAAGAAACGCAAAAATCGACGAAAACCGGTACAAGACTCAACTGAACCAGCTCACAGGCAAGACATGATAAACCTCTCTGGACTTTTAAGCAATTTGCAGAATATGTTTAGTATGTTCATTATGTAAATCTAAAGACACACGAACAAACCCTTTGTCTGCAGCCTTTGTTCTGACCAGAATGAAACCGGAAGTCACATTGAGAGAGACTGTCTTCAGCAAGCAATATGGCGTTTTAATAAACAGATAAACAGACTGCACTTCGAACGTGGAAAATTTCGCAATCGGTATTAGCTATACATCAGTCGAAGGTTTAGAGTAATCCTAAGGTACACGGGTTATCGTTTTGACCGTTTTTCCTTACCACGCACAACGCGAACGAGGAAAACGTAAATATCAAGCGAAGCAAATCCAGCGAAGGGGCGTGTTAGTGACGTCACAAATCACAATAACACAGATATGGCTTTAGTTCGTGGGCGGTGAATTGCATTAGCTCGTTTTGTGGCTCAAGGCAGTCGTTGCATTGTCAACTCATTCGAGTGCTCCACGCGTGTCCTACAACGTTGTCATCGATCGCTCGCAAGCCGTGAGCCGTTACGAGCAGGGTTGAAAAATTGTGCTTACCCACGCGGGCCGAGCCGAAGTGTAACGCGAGTTGGTATTATCTGCTGGCTGAATGGATAAGTTTACTGGCCAATGTCTCGATCAGTAAGAATCCGGACTACTGGCGGAAAAATTCCTTCATTTCCTGCGCGTGCTGGCAGTACGTTGGCAACACGGAACTTTTGTTCGATTTCTCTGGGCATTCGAGAACAATCAATCGTGCAAGTTTTCAATTAGGCGACTGTATCTTTTCTATCTTCGGTGTAGGTGAGAAAAACTTGTATATTATTTTTCTGCGGGAACTCCAGCTGTATGGCCTTCACCTCTAGCATTCTGATACTATATATAAACTGTATTTTGATTAACGTAATGTTAATTGATGAAAGCTTTATTCATGTTCATTTAGTCCCAAGGGTTTTCATTTGCTCAACGTACTTTGGGTTTAATTTTTCAGATCGCCTGTCGTTCTCTCGCTCGCTGTGGCCATATGATGGCGCTCGGAATTCATTCGCTGGATGTGGGTGACTTCGAGGACGCCTGATCCCGGCGAAATTAATCCAAATTGTTTTACGAGACGTCCATTTGAATGGGGATCAATGTTTGATGGCGGTAGAGACAGCGGTCACTCTTCACGAGAACCCACTGGAAAAGACAATTGTTTGGGAGAAAAGGAGCGTGGAAAACGACTCAAAACATCGCATACGACCACAGAATACTATTAGCAAAATTGACACGATAGCGAAGAAGGATGAATATCACTCCGATTACTGTGTTATCGCGGCCGCTACCAAGCGAACGTCGGCTACTACACCTCGCCAACCCATCTTAGTCGCGGATCGTGACAATCGACTCCGTTTATCGACACCCGCTACTAACAGGACGTTCAACGCATTTGTTAGGAGGCACACGGGAGGAACTTTACGCGCTCCACCGTCACAAGTTGTAACTTCACAACCGCGACCCACAGGGCCGGCAACACCGGTGCAATCGCGACCGATGTGTCGCGGTAATGTACTCCAATGCAAACATCATGAAGATGACGATATCAAGTTGTTTTGCTGTAAACGGGACGTGGACGTGTTAATCGACTACGCAAGTTGTATGTGCGGGGTCAAAGCAGTGTTGTATCACTGCTCAAAGGATTCCTTCAATGAAGGCAGTGCGGCAGAACACCCGTGCTCCTGCGGTCCCCCTCGTAAATCTTGCATCGGTAGATGGGGGTGCTTAGCGGCTTGTTCATTCTTTCTACCTTGCCTCCTTTGCTATGCACCTCTTAAAGGATGTTCTGAAATATGTGTATGTTATAAAAGACAGAAAATTGCAAGTAGGCAGCGACAAAGAAGACCCAAAGATCCCGTCTGAAGTGTCAATAACAGTGCGGGGCCAGGGTTAATTTATAATTTAGCTAAGCGGGTTCGTATCGAGCTCTCAAATTGAAATTTGTCTATCAAATACATATGCCTTATTTATACCCTCCTTGTAAATATCAAATTTGTTTAAAGAAGGCCTTCTGTTTTATAACTGTGATAGTCAGCGCATAATTATGCGAAGCTCTCTGGGGAAAAATTAAATCCTTTTACCTTCTGTTGTCACATTGGCTAAGTAGCCGACTTGATAGTAAAGTTAGAACAGCGTTTTCCTAGTAGCCATTTTGTGGCTTTTCTGTGCAATTTTTCCCCAATTGGATTCTTCGACACTATTTCCACAAACTGAAAAATTGTGTACATGAATTTTCTCAGAGATAAACAATTAAAAATTCTTGTACAGTTTACAGCGTTTGATGGTTAGCGTATACACGTCTTTAACTGTTACTCAACTCCCGCGCAACGGAGTTTGTATCGCTCAAAACAAATTGTGAACGCAACACAACGATATTCTTTAAGCGTCGAATGCACGGTTTATAAGTGATAAGCTAGAATTCACAGTGCTTGTAGTATCGGGCTTCATCGGCGCTAAGCTACAAGTAGTAATATCAATATTCAAGGACTGAAGAATCCTTCGTATCGCTGCACAGCATGGTTAAATCTCGGAAAGAATCACTCTTGTTTTGACGGGCACGGGGTGACTCGGGTCAATTTTTTTCGCTCAGATATTTCCTATTTAGAATATTGATGTGCTTCTTTTACATATTGAGCTCTAAGGAGATGTGATTTTTGTCTCATCCGGACCGAGCCCTCTATCAAGTTTCTATAGACATTTATCACAGCCCACTTGCTGATATTTTCTGTTAAATGCATGTGGCTTGAGATCGCGGCCCTGTGGCTCGGCAATAAAGATTTTCTTCGCGAAATCCGCAAACTTTTTCGCTTGGAAAACCCAGCCAGGTTTCTAATACTTAAATTAGATGATGGATATTCGAGTATTTTATTTATTCCGTTGATTTGCCCAATGCGAGGCGCTTTTCGCAGTATTGCTAATTCCAAACGAAGTGCGAATGTTTGTTGTTGTTGTTTTATCCTTTTGTTTCGCAAAGAGCTCAATAAGATTTGTAACTTTGGATGAATTATTTGGGAACTTAAGTTATTGCCTAGGCCTTTGCTACTGGGGCGGCTGGTGGCTAAACAAATTCCTGACTTATAAACCGATTAATTGTGGTTGAAATTTCTATCGCAACTGTCAAATTTAAGCCAGCAAGAAAGAGCTATCACATGATGGCTAATGTTGCATTCATTATACTGCGGAGAACGTACGGACGCGCGCACTTTGCTACGTTAGTTAGAACTTACTACTTAAAGTTATCGTGTTTTGCGGTTTTTGAGAAATCCATATTCATGACACGAGTTCACGATACCCTAAACTTCATAGAGGTCAAACATGCTGATTGATGTACCTAATTACCTTTCGCTTCTACCGAGTTCAGGCAAAAGACGAGTTTAGGAGACTACACATAGAACAGACAACGGGCAAAGTTTATCCTCACCATTTTTTTAAAGTTGTTCATCGTGTTGGCAAAGTCGATATTTAGTGAATTTTTCTATGAATCGCTGTCGACTCATTTGCGTACATTTGTTTGGTAATTTTGGGTTAAGGAGACGTATGTACTCTTTTTCTTGTCAGAATTTGCATCGGAATTTTTATGCTCCAAACAAAACATGTTCAACTAAAGCAGTCTGTTTGCAGAAATTTTTCGTGAGCTAGCGAAGGAATTCGATCAAGGATCTTCAAACCATCTTGCCGTTTTCCGGTTTACCCGTGATTTCTTGGTGTTATTTGTAACGAAAACAAATGAAAAATCGAATCCTTATTCTCGTATCTCCCTCTCGTCTCTTTGATTGTGTCTGTTAGTTTGACATTGCTAATGAAGGTGAACAATTACAAGAGGCTGAGAGGACGAGGATTTCAACATGAGTTTGTAAATCGACTCAAAAAGGAACAAAGTACAAAAAAAGATTTCAACACAATGGTTTGGCGTGATCAGATGCAGAAAGCACATGTGAGTGTAGAATTCTTTGAACCTTGAAAATTTACTTCGAGCAAAGAACCGTTTGAAATGAATAAAAACGTTTTTGTCAGAAACGGTGTAAAGGGTCGCGTTTCAATGGACAAAATTTACCCTGTAAGCAAAAACGAAAAAATAAACATGATAAGAATAACATCAGGCGATGCTCGCTCCAACAATGACACTTCCCGTTATATTGACAAGGCGGCGTGAGAAAAGTTGATGGACAATGACGAGTTGGCGAGTCACTTTTCCGTTTAATAAACCATTAACAGGAAATGGTTCATTACAAGTTGCCCGCAAGACAAGCCATTAGGGCAGACCTTTTCACTCTTAAAGGAAGTTTGATGATATTGAGGTAGGGTGAAGGGAACTGAAGTCTCTAGCAACTGCTGGCAAACGCAAGTTATCAGTTTTTCGATAAGACATTCTGCTTCTTAGAGTTGAAAATGAAGGACTTCGTTAAAAATAATATTTTGAAAAATTAACGGTATTGTAATTTTGCTTTTAATTTTAATTGAGCCTCCGAGAAGTTCTTGAGTCCTGTTTTAGAGAATCAGACGTCATTGCAAGCCGCAAAATGATCCGATATGAGCCACAATCGCTAAAATATTGATAATACCATAATTTCTTGTTCTCCAGTTACCGATTTTCACTTTTTTCTAGATTGTCTGATAAATAAGGAAATCGTACTTAATAACTCGCGCCACATTTCCAATCCGCAGGCTAGCATGTCACTTCTTTTTCATAACAAGCGTGTCGTCTTCCATACACTGAGAATTCAATGGCTTTCTAGTAACAAGTTTTTTTTGCGGCAATGATTATTCGAGAAGCACATCCGTTCGGAAGAATGGTAAAATCAACTTCAGAAAGCGAAGCGGACAATCATAGCTTTGTTTCGCTCCGCGTTGCGGTCGAGCATAAAGCTCTAAAAATTCCCTATCTCTTGCATAATTACTGTAAATAGTCTGAGAGATAGGAAGTTCGTTATCTAATGAAATTAACGTGACTCTCTATAAGCTTCCTGCTGCATATTTCTGTGGGTTGACATCTAACCTCAGTCTCTGCAGTGCAGTCGAACTATGTGCAGGAAAAATTTCCGGTCCGGTTTTGTAATAGCGAAGAATTCAAAAAAGACAAATGGAAAAACTAAAAACAATAATAATACATATACAGAAAACAATAGGATCACACAGCAGCACACAGTACAGCCTTAGCTTAGAAAGAGTAAGAGAAAACAGGTCAAAACAGACCTTTGTTGAAATCTGTAGCTTTAGTATAAATAGTTTTTTAAACCTTTTGCTGCAAAAACATTCGAGTTGTGGATCACCATATTTGTGTTTCCTTCCTTGACAATCAGAAGTGATACTAGCGAGCCAAACAAAGGGGCCATAGTTTTATTCGCTCTCTGCTTTTCTTTACCAGCTTTCAAGCACGTGATATATTTATGGCGGTGAAAATGAAAGCAGCGGAAATAAGGTTATAAAAATCATTGACCCGGATATACCACTGTCAGATAAGAATTTAGATTTCAAGTAAATGCCAGACTTTTGACACATAATTTAAGTTTGCAGTCTTTCTTATAATTAAGTGCCTTTTATAGAATTACTACGCGATATCTTTTTGTTACTTAACGGCAATCTCGCTTACCTTATGCATTTACCCCGTATGCATAACAAGGCCTCGTAACAGCTTGCAGCAGCAACCTGGCTCACAGATTCAACATGCGGGGAAAGTGTAGCTACGCCAGCACAGACTTGAAAGAAGCCTGTTCATAATCAGCAAGGCTTGGGGGATGCTAATCACAGCAGCTCCAAAGCTGAATTGCGAACACAACTTTACTCTAGCGATATCAATAACCTTGATGATCATTAGGAACCCTGGAGAACACATCATTTACAATATTTTACCAATTTTACTTATTTGCTTTGCTGAAAAAAAAAAAAAAAAAAAAACGTCTTCCTAGCTTTTTTATAATTTCAGGATCCTCTGATTTTAATGAATAGTGACAGTCTTGTTAAGATTGTTTTCTACCTGTATGTACCATCGTGAGTTATGTGTGGTGTCATATTGCATCACTACCTCCCCACAACGACTAATGGTCAATAATAAGGCGAATTATGTACCCAGGGTGGCCGTTTTGAGGAGTCCAACGACGTGCACGTGACTTCTAAAGAAACGTGTGGTCAGCGTGTTCGGAAATGCCTCCTCGTAATCTTTTGCATAGTCATGTCGAGACGTCACGTGACATATTTTTTAAACAGGGATCATGGAGCTGTAGACTGAAGGTTGACCAAACTGGTGTAAAACGTCAAAAGAAGTGATGGGTATTATGAAGATGGATGGGTCCCCTAGTTACGGCGTTTCCCTGGGTGGTTTAAAAAGAGATTTTGAGTAATCAGTAGATTGGCTTGTGCAAACGAGAGCGTTCCTCCAGGTTGTTGTTGGTGGTGTTTGCTATTATAGCAGAGAAGCAATGCTAACACTGCGTTGACATTTGTTTTTTGTTTTCTTTTTTTCGTTTTTTAAATTGACAAGGGATTAAGTTGTTAATTCAGGGGGTGTTTTCTTGGCCCGAAAATCCGGAAACTCGAGAGAAGGATTTACTGAGGTATTCGAATATTTGAGAAACCGCGATGGAAGACCGGAAGGATACCAACAACTCAAGATGGTGACGGAGAAAAAAACACCTTCGAAGCTGAACAGTTTGTAGACTTAAGACAAGCACTTTACTGGCACGTTGGATACAATAACCGTCTGCTGCCATCAGTAAAACACTTTGTGAATACACGAGAACGAGAACAAAACGAGAAATTTCCATGCATTCGAACGCTCCAAAAATTAATGTTGTTGTGGATAGCGCAGAAGCCTTGACTGATACCATGTGCGTTAAAATTCTTTCCGTTCCGATAAGATATCTTTCGAATCTTTATCTGAAAGCAGATTGGAAAGAGGTCCCTTTCTTCTAGCAATACCGCCGTTTTTGGTTCCTGTTTATCGGTTATCTGCATCATGGAAGCCGTCTGCTGTGACGTCTAACAAACACCCCAACTCATCCCAGACGAACAACATGGCATGTACGCAAAATGAGCTGTTTTTTGAAACGCTAGAGCTGTAAAAACGTCATACCTCCCTGGCTAAATAACGTGTTAGGTTATGTATGCAAGTTTTACATATTGGAATCCTCTCTCACTTCCAGGTATAGTGTGGCTTTTACCACGTACTCTGTAACGATTGCCTTTGTAGCGCGAAAAAGCGCTGGAAAACAGGCATACAAGTCACGATTGGGTTTGGTCTTGTTCCTGATTGGTTGAAAAACACACCTTTTCCTTTCCAACAACCAATGAGAAGCAGCTCTAACGCAATTTGTGAAAGTTAAGTGATTCCATCGATATGAAGTTATTACAAAAAAGCTTTTACCAAGAGTGCTATTATGCTTTTCTGTAACATGAAGCTACTATACTAGGAATATTTCTACTCCCCTTGGATGGGATGCTAGTCCATCGCAGGGTTACCCCCAGCATTAAATTTGTTGGTACCCATTTGCACACCTGGGTGGAGAGAGGCACTGTGAGAGTAAAGTGGCTTGCCAAAGAACACAACAAAATGTCCCGGGCCAGAGCTCGACCGCGCGATCCGGAGACGAACGCATTAATGACAATTAAATCTAGAAGCACTAAAAATTATCAAAAGCAAATAGCCAACGGCCACCATTCCACCGAAAGGTTATTATTAAATAAAAGACAGTATTGAAGGATAAATATATAGAAATAAATATATGAACGTTCGAAGCATTTACTTCAGTGAACTACATGCAGTCTGCGAGCAACTCTTAACTAACTTTTTGACAAAAGTTAGTACTAGCCAATATCTCCCTACAATACGAAAATAAAGAAGACCCACGACTGCAGATAAATTGTAAGAACCAACATTGAAAGAATTTTATCCAACTTGATACAGTAGATTGATTCTTAGAGAGGTACCATTTTTCCCCCTTTCGACACAGTTTTGGTTTCCTTATTCTTTCTCCTTTAATGTCACAGAAAGGGAAAAAAATATAACTTATAAATTTTAATTATTATGATTGGTAGGTGTCTTAGTACATTCTATATTGTAATGTTTGGCATGTCCTCGAATCGACATGCCAGGCAGTTATACGGCCCTTCAGTAAATGAAAGTCAGATTAGTTTTGTTTCACCCTTAAGCCTCGCTTTCTAACTGCAATTTTCTTAATGAGCTTTTTATAATAGACGCACTCTCAAAGCAAACAAGGATAAAAAGGATTTTCACGTGGAAACGGCGTAATGATGCAAGACTGTCCTGAGAAAAATTTCTGGTAGTCAAGGCTTGGGGGAGAATTTTGCGGAGCAATCATACATAGGTAACTTTCATGCAAAGCTTCTAACACGTTAAACGTTTTTATTCTAACTTCGAAACCTAAATAGCAACAATGTTCCGTTGCTTAAAAGGCGACTTCTTTTTCAATGACAAAGCAGGGTCCTTTCTTTGCCTGTAATGTCAGTAATCTCCCGCCCTCAGCCTAATTGCCGGGCGAGAAGATTAGGCTGAGGGTGGGAGAGGACTGACATTTCAGGCTAGGTCCTTTCTGCGCCCAAAAATTCACAGGCTTCGATTTAAAATGGAAGCTGTTTTCTCCGTTTTCAGTGCACGTGCGGTTTAGACCTACGTAGTAGCTCCAGGTGGCGATGTTGTCATCTTCATGCCCGTCTCCTATGAAGTGTCTTCCGAAGTAACTTGATGATTTTTCTAATTTTGGCCTCTCGGCGATGCTTTCTTCTCCCCAACGACCTTGGTGTGAAATGACGGTAGATTTGCCGCTTGGCGCTCACGCTTCCGCTCCTTGCGCGCCCTCCTTTGGAGAAACCGATGTACCACTGTGGATACCTGACAGATTTGTATTGGTAGTACCCCTCAGACGTGATCTCTTCCTCAAAAATACATCTTTTCATTGTGGCAAATCTTTGCTTTTTCACCTGGATAATTCATTAAGTGGGACAAAATAAATGGCTGTTAGGAGATTCATCTAACTTTTGTAATTCTACAACTCTAACTGTTTTATTTTGCAATGTCTGTCTTAACAACCTAACAAACTTGCAATGCTCGCAAGTTTATTAGATTGATCAATTGATAACTAGAATTCTTGATGTGAATTCTCCTCACGCGTGCCATGGTAAAGGAATAGAAACCAGTAAGGAGAAGTTGTTTGTGGGTTTGGATTAAGAAATTACGAAAGCTCTAAACATTTTGAAACGATAAGCACAACGACATAAAACGTACTAAGACGTTCGCTTACTTCAACAATCGCTTTAAGGTTAGAGAAATACCACTTTACTTGATTCGTGACGACGTGCTGATGTACATTCTTTTTTAGATAAAAATAAATGTTACAAGAACATCGAGGCTGAAATTTGCGAAACTCTAATTAAGAACATTTTAAGAATAAACCCGAGGCTGAGATTTTGAAAAGAGTATAATTTGGGAGCTGAAATGATTTGTAAATACAATACAATTATGTTTTTAACTAAACCGTCTAAGCCTATGAAGCATATAATCGGCAAAAAAATAAGAATATTCAGCCTGGGCCGGAAGAAAAAAAATTCTTATAGGAAAAAAGAATGTAATTGTAAGTTACGTCAGTCCTATAACGTATTTTAAAAAATAATTAGGGCTACCCACACATGGAAAAGGCACCACTCTGGCGAAATTCGAAAAATGGTAAAGATGCGACGACACCAGATTAGCACCAGAAACCAATCCCGTAAATACATAACTATCTATTCAGATGAAAAGGGTATGTTGAGATATTTTAATCATCGCCCTAAGACGAATTGAAAAGATCTGCTTGAAATTGGTTGGGTGGTACGTCTTCAACTGAAAATTATGTTCATATTTGAGCGAAAAACAACCCTAATGACATGGTAATTCATTGTAAATTCCATGAATTCTGAATCACATCCCCTACAAAACACCATGGAGAGAAAAATTTAATCCTCTTTTCGCTGTGGAAAACACAGGAGCAATGGAAAATGAAACCTGGACTGATGAAATTATTCTAATTTTCTTGAATTTTCGATTTCACCATTAACAATACAATCATCTCGCTTCATTTTCGCTTTTCAGTTCGTGCATTGTCGGGCAACCTCGTCACTTTTGTAAAGATATTACATAATCGTTATCTCGAGTAAAAGTCAAAACTTTGTCAGGTAGTTTCCATATGGGACAAACATTAGATGAAAATCTTCACGTGTCGGCTTGTTAACAGGTTTTCAAGATCATTGTCAAAATGGATAATGACTGTTTAATTTTGGATCGTAGAGGTTGTATTTTTAGACTGCTACTGTAACTTCCAGGAAAGTTTGAATTTTTTGAGAAGTACCCATGGAGGATTTCACCACAGCAACGATCCTTTCACAAATTCCCCCAAAAAGGGCAGGGTTGTATTTCATTGCACCTGTGTAACTCCACTGCAGTTTTTAAAATTGACTGATTATTTTTCTAACAAACTGGCAAAAGACCTGTTTACACCCAACTATGTTGATGTACTGAAGTGCGAACAGCTATAAGGTATCACCAAGAGGGAACTGCACTAAAATTGGAGCGGTCTCTTTTAACTAATCAGTCGCGAATTTGCTAGAGATCATATTGGCACGACCCTCGCGCTCGCCCCTATTAATGCTTGTTGACAGTCTGATCCCTCGGTTGCATCGTAATTCTGCCTTGACGGACAGACAAGTAATTATCGAATTACTTTTAACATGTTTAAAAATCCCCTGCGAAGATGAGCAATGGATAACAGGACATCTCAGCGGCGAGACAGTATATGGTGGAGTACATGTAAGCTTGGTTAAAAAAATACGATAGAACAACAAATTTTAGGTCTCAAAATGTTCAATTGTTAAGCTGTTAATTCGCGCTCATCAGCATTAAGTTTTACACCAGGGCTCAATCCAGTTCGCGATGAATTCTTTTGTAAAATTGTTTTGTATGGCTCGGTTACCACTAATTGATACTTTGAGAAGAAACTTGAGATTTAAATATACATAATTTTAATGCGGAAAGATTTATTAGCACTAATTGAAATGGTGAACACTGGTGTAAGCCGAAAGATCAGTTTCTGAGAACAAGGGTGTCCTGCAGACATGCGCCGAAGGTCAGAAAATTAAAAAATTGGTTGACCACTAAATGATTTGTCTGTCCAATTCATCTGTGCTGTGAGGTTTTTCTTCTTCTTTTTTTTTTTTAATTTTTTTTTGGTACATTCATAGTAAATTCTTTGTTAGGGAATTCTTGCCAAATATTTGTTCACAATGGGCGTACAGCTGCGATCAGAGTGATCAACTACCTGACGGCCCACATCACACGCATGGGGGTTGTAAAAATACAAGATTAGCGCAGCGACCAGTAGAAGTCAACAATAGCGAAGCGGCTGAGGAGCAGCCAACCAAGCCAAGAACATGAAACATTGCAACCCTGACACCCAAGGCAGGCTTGAAACAAGTGCACAATAGATGATGGGCTGGGGGGATAAAAAAGAGTGTTATGCGGAAACATGAGGCAGCCTTATGGATTGAGATGAGTCGATCAGCCACCGTAACATATTGTTTCTTACAGAGTTTGGCCCCTCGTAATATATATTGCGTGAAACAGCGTGAAGCGCACGAGCTGTCCGTGGGATAACAATCCATGGTATACATGACATGAATAGAATCTCGTGCAGTGAGATGAAAGCATTAATTATATTATTTGAAACATTTCGTTTTAGGTCTGAAATGACAGGCTTTTGAAGTGTCCTCACTAAAACATGTGCTCTGCTAACGTCATGGCCAGGCTTATTCAACAAGCGCAGCACATGTTTGAGATCACCATACTGTAATGAACCTCCTCAGGGCTGTAGCTTTCATCAGTCACTTTTTGTTGTTGTTGTTGCTTTTGGTCTTTACAGTCATCATAAACACCCTAAATACCTAGGAAGAGAATTTAACCATGAAAGTTGCCTCAGTCGTAATTTTTTTTTTCTGGCTAAGGCCCTGTTCCTCAATTAAGCACCGCGGCTTATTTCTAAATTTAGGTTTTCCTTGGCAATCTCCATGACTGGACTATTTTTATTTCTACTTATTTTTTATGCTTGCTTAGTAAGGGAACCGGAGTAATTTCAGCCTGACTGTTTTTAAAGCGCTGGAGTGAGTCAAGTATATTTTTAATTCATTATACTAATTAATGGAAACTATTTTGAAAAGACTACTGGGGCAAATTTAGTCTTCCTCCCGTTACGATTTACAAACTGCAATACTGAAAGTCTTATGTAATTTAAACTATGGGAAATAACATTCTCACTTATTCAGGGAGGGGCGCTCTCAGGGAGATGCGTTATTGGGCCACCAGTTGGGAGAAACTGGGAGGTTAGCCCAAAATTAGGGGACTGTATACATGCATTTCTTTTTTTCGCAGCGGGTATCATTTCTTTCGAACTAGGAGATTTTATTGACATAAAATTGATGTATAATAACTTGCTAAAATTAGTAACCACAAACATTTCAATTGCCAGCATAGCGGGCGTAAAACGGGGGAAACAAGGAGGGAGGGCGGGGGCAGAAGGAGGGAGGACTCTCGTACTTTTTCCCTGTTTACCCATGCAACGCAGGCTAACATTTCTAAATACAGTGGATCCTTGGTCACTAACGGTCACCAAAGGGCCACAAAAATCCGGTCGTCTTAACGGGATGGCCGTATTAAAGGGGTTCGTTAAATAAGAAAATGACTGACTGAGCTTTTGTTCGGACCAGAATAAAGTGACCAGAATAATGAGGTGGCCGTATCTATGTGGTGTCCGTAAGGCGGGGATCCACTTATCTGCTACACCTAGTACAATCTGCTATCATTCTCGAGTTATCCAACTGGGGAAGAACGCTCGATGTATTTCGCACCTGTTCGCAGCATTTAACCTGCTTAAGTGAGCCTTAAGTCTTGTTCACTTAAATACTGATGCATGTTGAACAGCATAACAGTGAACAAAACTTAATTAAAAAGCAGCTTTGAGATTGCATTGATATGCAGTATCTATTTAACAAATTAAATTCGAACCTTTGTAATTTTTTGATGGGCCCACCCCTGTAGTGAAAGGCTTGTTCACCCGAGCCGCCTCATTTCACATCTTTTAAAAATGAAAAGGGATTGTTTTTATACACCACTCTGGTCTGTATAAACAGGTTAAAAAATAGAAATGTTTAAAGATGTTTAGCTAATAGCGTGTTTCTTGTACAACGAGAAAATTTACACATGCATAAGACGTTACATTTGTCAAATGGCGAAATCTCCAATAAAAGACCTTATAGAGTCGATCAAAAGAAGCAGCCATGACCGGAAAGGAGGCGTTGAAATCTTTTAGTGGTGAAAGACGCTTGATAGCCAATCGAAGTCATGCTCGCATGCATTTACATTTCATGAGAGCAGCAACAAAAGGTAAAGCATGGATACGAGCTAAGTGGCCCATCAGGCCCGGGCTTATCCCAGTTTCTGTAGCATGAAGCGACTAGGAGTATTTCTACTCCCCCCGGATTGGATGCTAGTCCATCTCAGGGTTACCCTCGGCATTAAGTTCACTGGTACCCATTTATACACCTGGATGGAGAGAGGCACTGTGAGAGTAAAGTGTCTTGCCCAAGAACAAAACACAATGTCCCTGGCCAGGGCTCGAACCCAGACCGCTTGACCGGAGACGAACGCACTAACCATGAGGCCACCGCGCCACCCATGAGAGCAGCAATACGGTAGCTTTATTTCAGCTACTGAGAGACAAGCTCATCACGGCAAGTTCTATTCATCAAAACCCTCAGCAGTGATCATAAATTCGCCGGTACCCATTTGTACACCTGAGTGGGGAGAGGCACTGTAAGAATTAAGTGTCTTGCCAAGAACACAAAACAATGTCCTCTGGCCAGGGGCCCGTTTCTCGATCGTCCCGAAAAGCTTTCGCACCCGGAAAGCCGTAGCAAAATCTCAAACCTTATGATTACATAACTGTTTATTTACATATTCTTAATATGACCAGAAGTTTCCTTCATACAAGAAGTTTCAGGCGTATACACCTTTCTATTTTAGATACATATGAATTAAAAATGGCTTTGCGGGCCCGAAAAGTTTCCGGGACTTTCAAGAAACAGGCCCCAGGGCTCGAACCTGGACCGCTCGATCCGGAGTCGAGTGCATTAACGATGTGGCCACCGCGCCTCCACAAAATGCATGGTAATCACAAATTGTTCAGCGTAATCCTCATGTAACGAACAACTCTTGTGGGTGTGTCCGCACTCTAGTCTCTCTTTAGATAGTCGCGCCAGGGCAGTTCGAGCAAAGAGAGAAAGCATGGCTGGACAAACGAGAAGCTTCAGCCTTCGACAGTGACTGAACATTTGTCACACTATGTATTGCAAGCCAGGGTTTTCAGTGATACCAAATACGCGAGCTTGCATGAACTGTATAAGGAGAGACAATAGCACATTTCTAAGTTACCCTTCGCCTCTGTTTCAAAACGGGACCTACAAATATGAGTTTGCGTAGCCTAAAAAAAAATAGACGTTTCTGTGGGAAACATTTTTGTATGGATATTTTTGCACGGACAATCGTTTGGACGCAGAGGCAAAAGGAAACTAAGAAATGGCCTTTAAGGGAAACCAAATTCTCACCCTGGCAACGAGTTCCCCCTTCTTGTTCAGGCAGAGATAGCGATTTGTACTCTCTCCTCGAATCTTTATTCGACCAAAGTTGTCAGACTCCAACACCAGCCTCGCTACAGAATGAATGCAGGATGATGTCAGGGTGGTTTTAAAGGAATACAACATGAAAACAGCAATCAAAATACAACGAGAATATAAGATGAATCTAAAGTAACCGAGAACCGACACTGTCTGTCTGAAGAGCGATGATGAAAAAGTAACAACGTATTGAGATTATGTTCATGTTATTTCAACAAACCTAAACTTATATAAACTTATACTTCTATAAAAAAAAAATAGAGCTGTCCAACAGCATTATTTCATAACCCTCTACTCCCCAGGTGATTTAAAACTTAACCCTGTAAACACACGGCTGTCTTGCAATGGAAATTTAGTTCGCATATAAACAAGCGATGGGAATAAAGCAAGACATTAGAGTGAATTTGTAGTATTCAACTAACGGGCGATAATTTCGTGGATAGTGTAATATGGGGCCGTTAAGTCTTTTTTTCAGCAGCTTTTTCTTGAGCGGGGGGAGGGGGGAAGTGAAAACAAATTATGGATACTACGAATCAGTAAAAATAAAAAAAAAAATAACCGGCCGTTGTTTCGTTGGTTATGAAGATAATGTACAAAAAAGTATTTTTCTCGGTGGTACAATGGTCAAGTAATCGGTAGCACCGGACTGACCTCTTCTGGTATGTTTACGAGAATCTATAATTATTTATGAGAATCTATAAGTCTGCGCTTAAAAATCCCAAACTACTAAAAGTGCTTAACTTAGGCCGGTTTTTGTATCAAAAAGTCACACTAGGTATCACCATTTGCTACTCCTCAAATAGAACTTTCTCAGACTTCCTTGGAATGGAATCTCACACTTCCTCATAGCATTTTCAAAAATTTGTCGGAAGCCATCGATCCTGGGTGAAGAGGGATTCATAATTGACACGATCTAGATCTAGGGTCTACAGGTCTAACGCTGCGATTAAGGTCATTCCCCTGTATTGCATTGCACATCCTTACTGCGCATAATTTATGGCGTCATTAGTGCGCGTTCGTGCAGGCGCACATTGAAAACATGGCGGATTTGCCTTGATATTGAGTTCTGTTAGTTGAAAAATGGCTATAGCTCAAGATCGAGCTCGGGCACCCGCAATTTTTTTCCAGTCATTTTAATCAACTAATCATTAGCTTTGCAGGAGAAAAGACTGATCGGATTTCTGTTGTTGAAAATTGAATAAATAAGGAAACTAGCAGCTGCACTGTAGTCTTTTCTATTTTGCAGTTTGATAGCCGTGGCAAGCAGTTTGGTTCCAATATTTTAACAAGGATATTGCTGTCTGTCAAAATCAAACTTAAAAAGTTTATTTGTCTCCGACACAAGTATTGACTGTAGTTTGAGGCGTGTTTTCATGAGTCTTGGCTCACAAAGAGTTTACAATAACTTGGAATGCGTTCTTGTAAAAAGCATTAAATAACTCTAAAATGGGACATTTTCAATGCCTTACTGGTTCTTAACAAGCATGGGCATCCCCCTTTTTTATTTTATAATTTAAGTTCTCATATGATAAATATTCATTGGACAAAGTTTGAATAAAAATCTATGTGCAGTTTTATTTCAGGGGAATTACCTTAAATCCAAAATTGTTTTCTGGGCCAAACTATGAAAGCACTGGGAATCAAGGGATGTAGCTGCGAGGAGAGTCTAACTGTATAAAACTTTGCTGAGTTGCTCCACCTGGGGCGGGTTTATAAGTACGACAACTTTCAGTTGTATACCAGATGGCAGAAGCAAAAACAACCTAACGAAGGTTTCTTCAGCTGCATAGGTTAAATCTGCTCCCTTGATAAAAATCGAGTGGACCAGCCTGGCGACATATATGTGTCCGAGCTTATCATGAGTTCCCGTCAGCGAAAAACTGTCTGAAAATCTGATCAACATGCAATGTTTGAGGGAAATACTAATCCATGCCGAGAAGATCCCCGCTATTGTTTATTTTTCAAATTGTACAGACCAAACTCGGTGGTCCATTTGGTGGAACGTAACATACGGTCAAGTTTGAAAGAAAAGCTATGCTGAGGCAAATCCATTACTGAATTTGTTTTTATCAAAAAGAAATACTAAAAAATACATCGGTTTTTCCCTTGAATTCAAATTATTTACCGATAGGTGACTTTTTGTGATTTGCAGGATACCTCGTCGCGTGGAACTGGAATTACAACAGCTTTTTTTCCTTTTTAATTTGATAATGTGGCAGATCAATGGAAAATGTTCCTTGCGGATAGTGGAAATAATACAAAAAAAATGCAAAATTCCCCGTATCCTCGTCTTCAGAATAAAATAACTTTTCTGAGAACTAATTTGATCTTGAACCCGCCGCGTTTTTCACTGAGTTACACGGTTGTTTGTAATAAAGCTGGAAATTCTTCCACTCACGTTCAGTGAGTGCTTTGCTTGCACAGCATAGAAAAGTCAGGCGTGAGAGTGAAAACAGAAATAGAGAGAGAGAATAACGATAATGGAGAGTAACGGTATCACCAATAGGCCATATAGGGCAGGGCAGGTTATTTTTGTTCCTTCCCGCCCTCTTCCCCCTATCCCCCTACGTCATGATCAGACATGCCCTGTAAACAGTTTGAAACGGAGTGGTTGGTATTATTTGTTTTGCTTTTTTTTTTATTCTTATCCTCGCCAATAATAATAGTAAACTTGAGATGATTTTCTTTGTTTTAAGTTTGAATCTACTTAAGTCAGAGGAACTGTTAAAGTCCACTGTATGTAATAGCAGAAGGAATTAATTTGATCATTCTTTCCTCCTTAGCACATCATTCCTATTAGTTTACTTTATAAGAGATTCGCTCCGCTTCCGGACAAAATTAGTCAATGAAAAATATGACCTTGTTTTTGACTCAAAGCGAGAGGCAGCTGCAAAATCGCAAGTCATAAGCTTTGTCTAAATGATCACAGAAGCAAAACCGGTGAAACAGTACAGTGGTCGCGCGGATACTCAACAAAACTCCCAACACCGAACAACTGAGAAAATAATGTCAACGTTCAGGATGAATTAAGCTGAGGACGCTCATGATTTGTTGGACAAAACGATACCCATTACAAAAGAATTTATAATGTCAACTGAACCCGCAAAAATGACTGCACCCTACGATCCGTTTTGTCAGGCTATTAGTACAGGCTAGCTGAATAAACAGTGATATCAATGCTTAATGTAGAGAAAAACGCCTCAGACGAAAACACAGTTACTGGCTACATGTGACAAAAGATCTTGAACAACATCGTTTCCCAAACTACGTTTTTTCGGACGCATACAGTTATATAACGGTGAGAAAGCAGAAATTATTAACCGTTCGCTCCGGGGTATCAACCAAAACAGTTTACACTAAATTACACTACTTGATGAAGAGAGCTTTGTGGCTTGAAATTTATTTTGCTTCGTGGCTTTAGATTTCTTTTTCGTCGCTGTCGATAGATTGGTATTTTTCTACCCCCGGCGGTACTGACTAAATGAAAATAGCTTTCTGTTTTGTTGAAGATCTTTCCTGTTGAAGAAAGGACAAAGGCAAACGTCACGATAACTTTTCTCAAGATTCTATGATTCTATCATCTAGCATCATCACGCCATCTGGCAAGACATCAGTTTGGATAAAGCATTTGAAGAAACAATGTAATAACCACAACTCACGAATCATTAGAAGACAATTTCAAAAGAGACAGGCACCGCATTCACGCGAAACGTCCCACTCTAAGAGAAGAGGCCGAGAGGAAAACTGAAACATGTGGGGTCCAGTTGGTTCCGATCCCTGTGGCGTAACGACCCAGCCCTAAAACCGGCAAAATTTAATCGAATAGGAAAAATCATCACCTTTTCCTTTTTACTTTTCTGGAAAGAGGCTTTTGAACTAGCTGTTTTTCTCTCACTTTCTGTGCTGCTTTGTTGGCGGAAGAAGATGCACATGCTGAGAGACGCCGGTTATTCGCTTTACTTTGTAAACAATAGCGGCACATTTTCGCACTTACTTGAAGAAACGTGACTCGTAATTGAATGGAACAAGCCGCAGAATCCGTTCTTTGTGACGATACTGTTTTTTGAATATCCTTGTTAAAGAACAAAACGTACTTGAAGCTCACAGCAAAGCACATTTTCAGCTCTCGTGAGCGCATGGCTTCCAAGGAAGCTTTTCCATGTGGTACCCAGATGACCCTCAACATTTGCACTAATCACGAAATGCGGTTACCACGATATTTATCATAATGTTATAAAGAAACGTCGACAAAGGAGAACAAAATGATTGAAGGTAACACAAACGTGTCTTACGCCTATGACGTCGAGAAACTTAATGTCACTCAAGTAAATTGCTCTAGTTTAGCTGGAATATAAATGTTTTCTCTGAAAGCATCCGCCAACTTATGATACCCCAAAGAAATCACTGATAGAATAAGAAAACAATGCGAGTTTAAATTATTTAAAATACAAACTATGGATGGCCATTAATAGGAACCTTAATTCGCAACTACCAATCATAAACGAATCATTGATCATAAAAGGAGTTAACTTCCAATGCTCTTACCGAATCCTGAGCCGTCTCGACCGCGAGCGTCCAGCTCCGTTTTCATGATTTGAACGTGGAGTTTTGAAGCTCTCGAAAAGAGTTGAACAGTTCTTTTCACAGGATGATTGTTGTTGTCCGTTTGGTTTTTTTGACTCTCAACAAAATTGCACATGTTTCTCTCGTAAATCTGGAATAACGAATGGAAAAAGAAAGGTTCGTTAAAGATCTTATCGTGCGTAAGTGAAGGTGTTGATCAGTGTGTCTTACGTACCGGAATGGACTTGTTTGTAGGACAAGGTAGCGATTCTCCGCTTCTAGTTTTCCAGCTCCGGCTATTAGCCGCAGGACTGGTGCTTAACGTTTCTGGAAGGCTGAAAGAGATATGGAGATTTTTATCAGCTTAGACTGAAAGAATTAGTAACACACGTGTGACTGGTTATCTGAAACAGGACGTTTTCAAATTGTCAAGACTTACAGGATTAAAATAAGACCACAAATACCCAAGGTTGACAGGCTTGCCTTCATCGCAAAGTAGCAGAGAGTACAAACCAGACTAGAAGCTTGCAAAGACATCCGATGTGAAGATGAATCAACGAGGTCTCTACAAATTGCTCGCTTTTATACTACTCGTTGCAGGTCGTAAGTGGGAGGTATTGCCGACATTTTATCACCGTATCGAGTGTAAATGAGAAGCTTGCAGATGAGAAGCGATAGCAGTGGGATTTTTATTAACGGTGTCCTGTTACGTTTAACCCCTGAAGTGAGAGAAAAGTCTCCATTGTTTAGGCAGTATGACAAATTGTTTTTCTAAGGATAAATTTCGAGGGCGGCGTTCCAAAAATACAAAAGTTTAAAACCAAAGAAAGAATAACCCGGATTATGTGGTAAAGTTTGAAATGAAGGATTTACAGGAAAGAAAATATTTGTTTTTGTCGTACCACAAACGAACGTTCACAAAGGTTTAAAACTGTAATATAATTGTATGCTCAGCTGAAGATTCAAATGACTCTTTAATTACGAAATAATTTTTGCTCATTTTATCGCCGCAATCATGATAACTAATCTGCGTGTAACGAACTTTCCATCATAAAAAAGCGAGCCGGAACACTACTTCTTCACCACTCAAACAGTACTTCTCAAACAAACAAGATTATACAGTTGATCGTCTTGCATTATTAAGTAAGAGCACTTGACTATACAAAGCTTATTCTTCCAGTTTAAAAAACAAAAATGACAGGGAAAAAGGATTTATTTAAGTCTGATTTACAAACCGTTTACGCACCCACACATTTCCCTTTTTCTTTATGGACCCGGGTTCGATTTGGTCCTCCGGAAAAAAAAATCGATCTTGATCAAAAACATCCCGTCTCGATTTTTCTCACGTGGCGGCGAGAAAATGCGGGCAAAACATGCCTGAAGCAACGTGCCGGGTGCTTTTCTGAATAATTTAACAGATGTTAATGAAATAAGTATCTAAAAGGATAGTTTAAATTAAAAACAGAACTAGAAGCTTTGGATCGATTTGGCAAGTTGTTTTGCAATTATTTATGGGATTAAGCAGGATCTTGTTTCGACTGATGACTAACGCAGAGCGGTTTGAAAATTCTCACGGTGATTTCTCTCACTTCGTGTTTATGCAAAAACGTCCAAACAGCCTCTTAATCAATTAGGTTTCTCCTGAGCCTTGTTATCTGTAACCTTTTCAACTGCAATTTCCGGTGCTAAAGCGCTCTTGTTTTTACACACTTGATACCTGAAGCCTTGTAACATGTCAGAATTATACCGGTAAAGGTGGTTGAATGCTATATGTGCTCCAAACTAAATCTTGTCTTTGGAAAAACAAAATGAGTCGCCGGTATTATCATAAAAGTATGTCTCATTATATTAAACATATCTAAGAGTGGGATAACTAGTTGTTACTGAGAGCATCTTTGTCCTCTGCCAGGATGAAGTACAAACTGGAGTTTTCGGTAGGGTTATCCTTGAGACTCCGATAGTCCCACCTTAAGTCTAGGCTCTTTTCTCTACGCTCAGGTCTTCTGTGAGATACCGACTTCCTCTTCCCTTTCGCCATTATTTGGATGAAGTCAAACGAAAAGTCTTTATACACAGTTCCTCTTTCCCAAACGGGTTATAGGGCTGGGAGACCTTTAAAAGCAAAAGCCATTACGCTTTGAATGCAGTTCTGAATGAACAACCGAACAATTTATTCAATTTAATACAATGCATCTGTTGCGACAAATTGTTTTCTTTTGTGGAAACGGGGACTTTCACATGCAAGGCGCGCAATTAGCTAGTTGTCTGTCAAGACACACATGGTGTTGATGTGAGCTTTTCGGCAAGAAGTGGTTTTTGATTGAGAAATCTGCGCTTTGTGAGACGAACATTTTCCTTGCCAAATTCCTTTGGTCTCTCCGAAATTGACGCGTGCGACCTGTTCCCTTTCTGCATGGTGAGGTTGTTGAAGAACATTAATACTCCCACTCTCTCTCCGCAGTGCAGTTTTACAATTTTTAAAAGGTCATATAAATGTAGTTTGACCACCCAAGATGAGATTGGATACGGGACTTGATCAGCATTTGTTTTACTGTCCTCATTATGAAACTCTTTATTCTCACAAGACAATCAAAGTTATGGAACAGATAACCTGGGTGCAGACGTCTGCTATATCACGTCTGCACGCAGGCTATAGAACAGATTAGGTCTGAACAGGATATAAATGAAACCGCGCGAGTATGGTAGGAAACTGAAGAATAAATGACTGTTCAATCTATGCATAACAATGGTCACTATGCAAATATATGAGAGTGAGTTTTGGTCGTGGAACATTGGGATAATCTGACATCTGTTTAAAGAGTTTATCATGTCACACGTTCTATTGTCGGAAAGAGACAACCAGGAAGTTGTGAATTTATCCTCTTAGTTGCCGCAGGCATAATCACGCATAACCAACAGGATGATTTAATTTTCGAGATTTTGCCAGAAATATCATGGTTCAAAATCCTTCTCGGTTAGACTTAATCTGTATTAAAATTACAACAGGAAGGCTTACTGCTGAAAGGAAAAGAAACAGAGACTGTGATCGTTATATGGAGGACTGTGTTAATCACTTATTAAAGCGAAGCCGTTCAGCTTTGACCAAAACAGCCGAAGTTTTTTTAGAGTGCATTGGTCCACACTTATGGGGGCACGGTGAATTATACCGCCAATAATCAAAGAGCAAAGGGCCGAATGCGTGGCTGATCTCCCGGGATAAACCGGTATTTCACACCAAGTCGGTGGGACATACGAGTATTCCAGTTGATAGAAAGCGCGCTCAAAACGTTTGCGTCAAAACAACAGTGCTTCAACTGCTTGATGCCGCTTTGTATTCCTGAGTGGAACATCGTAAAATTGATGCCAGATGAGGCTTCCTTCGTCAAGTATCCGACAAGGATAATGGTAAGTTCTAAGATCACTTTACTTTTGTTGTATTGATATCCATAATGTATAATAGACAACACGACGGCAGTCGCCTCTCATCGTCCATAGCCATAAGAGAGACGGCTGATTAGGAATGCATTCCAGTGCGGGCTAACAATGGTTCTCCTTGTAGCTCCTTGTGATCAAAACCATCTCTGAAATATTGCCGTGGAACCCCATGGTATACTTTGTGTTACGCTGTTGACTAGTTGTATTACCCTTCGCACAGCACCGGCAGAAGAGTGATCATCCCAGTGGCGTTCTATTTATTTCCTGAACATAATCATTGAAGTATTAAAGACTACTGAAGCACGTGTGTACGGCCGGGGATCTTGCAAAGCTTGTTGCAATTAGCAAAGAGAGTCACGACCACAGCTATGCTATAAAGATAAATGAGGATTATCTTGGAGAAATTAAAATCCAAAATGCGAACGTGATTTTGCCTCTCCCAGTCGTACAATGGGTTTGGTTTCCGTTGCTCCCTCGTGTCCGGTCGGAGGGGAAGTCAGCGGGAAGACCAGCGGCGCATTGCGGGCTAATTTCTATGTGGACTAGGAATTTGTTTTCGAATTTACCACGTTAGCGGTGGTTAGCAACAAATATTTTTTTAGCTGATTCCGTCATGTGCAAAATTTACCTTAAAATTAGCTTCGACGAGTGTGACTGGTAGAAATTCACGATCAAAACATAAGAATTGATTGCGGAATCCATAGCATGATTTCTGTCCAGCCGACTTTTATAAAGTATTTTTTTTTAAGTGCGAGAGTGCTTCAGGATAAGCTATTGCTTAGGGACACTGAGAAGAGAAAGTTTACAAGCCGAGGATAAGAACTCTGGTGATCTTCTTTAACGTGATAATTTAGTACTAATATATGAAATGTAAATGAACAACTAAGTCGATTCAACTTTAAAGCTTAACTTGGAATATCTCAGTTGGAAAATCATGCAACGAGAAGAGAAAGAGGAGTCTTTCCCAGCATGGAAGTATCAGTGAATTTGATTGTGTCCCCGAAGTTATAAAGATTAGTCAGAAAACTGTTTGTCTGACACACGCCTTTGTTGTTATGGCCTTTTCCAAATTTTACGAAAATACAGCGCAAGAGAAAGCCCAGTAGACAGGCCAGAAACACGCACGTGTAAGTAAGTTGTTGTGCGCAATTCTTATAGAGCCTGAAACATTTGATAATCTAAACGTGCTAACCTATAAAATTGCTCCTTTTATGCTGGATCCTTGCCGTGTTCTACAACAGATTCGCCGATACCCGTGCAAAGAGTTTGAACTCCAGGGGGAGGCTTCATATAAAAAGGACAGGGATGCTCGTCGCACCTTTAGGGGTTGAAAAAGCGGTTTTGGTACCTCTCAGGGTGTTCAGCCTCAAAAGGTCCATAGCAGTACCTTTTAGGGTATTGAGCAGAAAAAATATTATAGGAGATAATTTATTTGACAATCAACTTTACGCGATAGAAGGTATTCAAAGCATCGTCTTTATCGTTATTGAAAATTATGAGTGTCAGTAAATGAATTGTTTCAGAATTGGTACCTCGAAGGGGTGAGAAGAATTTGAAGCCACGCCCACAAAGCAGGATCTTGGTAACTCTTAGGGGTTCTTTTCTAAATTTCCGATGAGCAGCCCCCTCCTTTTTATATAGGAGTCCCCCCGGGGCTTGAACTAACTAATCAGACCCGATGTTCAAAATTTCCCACCCTTTTTTATGACATCAGCTTTCTTTGAATCGAGACTGGTTTATCAAGGAAGTTAATTAATTCCGAGATTACTTTGGATTCATGAGAGTCGTAAGAAAACAACAGCATATGGTGAGCTTAAAGGTGAGAACCTCTTTGTCACCTTCCGTTGTACAGTTAAATCGAAGTTTCGGCCATTTCTCTAAATTATTAAAGAACAAAAATTGAATATTTTAGAGAAAGTCTTTTGGTGGAAATTCTCGACGGAAAAACTCGGTAATTATTTAATTTGTGTGTACCTGGAATTAATTTAGCTCGAAGAGAATGAGTTTCATTAAGTTTCGTAGTTGGTGTTATTGTAATCTGGACGGTTATCTTGGTTTAGGCTTAGTGTTCTGGCCAGGTCAAATACTAAAAAGGAATTTTACCCGGCCTTTTTCCGGGAATATTTTATTTCTATTGCTGGAATGTTCTGTTCTTAATTTATAGTTATACTTTCTACTAACTATAGCCACAGCAGACCTTATTTCTTTAGTGGAGATCACTGGCATATGGACAGTTTTACCTAATGTTAAATATCTTCTTTCACCTCACACTTCTTGGTAAATGGAAGTACACTTTAATTAAGAAAAGGTGCTTATCCTCAGAAACACTTTAAAAGTCGGCTTCCTTCAGAGGAACTCTTGTAACACGTATTTTAACACTTAGTGAATTAATTTCTGTTTTGGAACTAATGACTACTTTTAAAACATTAAAATATTGAAAAGGCCTAACCAGTAAGACCACCTGTCTTCTTCAATAAGCTGGCCGAAATTGTTGTTTGTTAGAGATTGCATAACAATCTTTGTTTTGAGTGTT